TGTACTGCTCAGATTTTTTTCCCTAAGTGAAACCCCATCTGGATAAAGAAATGAGTTTATAGGAACTATTACTGTATAATCTGATTTTTTTTTAGCTATAGTTTGGGCTATAGTTTACTGATGAAATTATATTATGTATATCATATATTGGCTTATTATTATACATTATTAAATGTTTTCTTACCCCAGCTATTTGTTTGGTTCACGGGCATAGACTGAGTCATAGAGGTTGGTCACACGTATAGAGCAGCCAAATTATAATTGACTTATCAAATTTGCATTTGTAGTAATATGAAAATTTTTTCTGTGAACATTTTTAATAATGGAGGATGCACCATTCCGTATAAATTGAGTAAGAAACCAGAAAAATTGGTGAAGAATTGTTATTTATTTTGGATTTCCAAAGAATTTGTAGTAAATAGTTAGTGAATTAAGGAAGACATATGCTAAAATATGAAAATCTAAGTACTTTTTGCTATCAGCCAAACACAGATCTAACTTCTGGAGGCATTTCTCACCTTTTTCATTTCATATCAGTGGTAATAGAGTGATGACCTCCAAACTAGTGCTAATCTACTAAATTTTAACTTAACTTTACCTCTTTTTCCTCCCAAACTCTTGGTACAGATTTGTGTGTTGAGGATTAACCTTGTTTAGCTTCCTCACTTGCCCCTGCTCTTGTTGGTATTTAACTGTGATAGTCACTTGTGATCTTATAGTCTGAGATAGGTTTAGTAAAAGTCAGACTGATACCCTGAGACCATTGCCTGGAGACTAATTTTTGTGGACAGGGAAGATCATTTTTGTGTTTTTTTTTTTTTTTTTTTTCTTCAAGGCTATGCTAATATTTGTCATCTGTAAAACTATCATGTTTATATTTAGGTTTAAACAAACATTCATATTTTAAGGGGAAGACTGGAATGGGGATAGGATTCAGTTAAAGTAAGATTTAAGTACTGCTACTTACAGCTAATTTCTTTCTTCTTAAAAATCATTAACAATGTTTTGAAATCTCAGAATTGTTTTACAATTACTGACTTATCAAATTTGCATTTTGTTAAGCAATACGAGGATTCTCTCCACCACATAGAATCTGCAGTTTTGAAGAGGCAAAGGGTTTGGATAGGATCAATGAGAGAATGCCACCCCGGAAAGATGCTGTACAGCAAGATGGTTTTAATTCTCTGAACACCGCACATGCCACTGAGAACCACGGGACTGGCAACCATAGTGCCCAGTGACCAGCAGCTTCCCAGGGACTCTCACATCTCGGGCCCCAAATGGACAGATCACCCGAGGAGCTGGAAGGGTGGCCAAGTGGACTATAAAACTCACAGTCCCTCTGAAGAAACCATTGTGCTTTTTGAGACCCCAGCCCCCTTCCTGAATGGAGTCTTGAGGGCCCTGGGACATGTTGTGCTTGCTGTCCGATAAGATTGGGTCATCGCTGCCAAGGTGGAGAGCAGTGAACATGGGGCTTGGGGCAATTTCCAGTGGAGGGCATCTACACCTCCATTTATGCTTGTGGTTCACACATTTAAGTTTACAATGAGATTTTTTTTTCCCCTCCGTAGAATTAGATTTTTTTCAACCATGACTTCAAATGCAATCCTAAGAGTTAATGTAGCCTTTTTTTTCTTCCAATGAAATGTCTTTAAAGAATGAATTAGCATGGTCTTAAAATATATTTCTGAGGTTACTAGCTGTATTTTGAATTGTAGGCAAATTGCTAAGAAACCCAGTTGGCGTTTATACAAAAATGCTGACCTCAGGTGTGTTGTTCTTAAATGTGGCTAATTCTGTAACATAGTCAATATTTTTCAATTATGAATGCATAAACTATTTCTAGAAAGACTTACTTGAACTAAAATCTAAAACTAATTTAGAATCTTTTTTGCCCAGATCTTTTGAGCTTTACACCCCAGAGATTTAAGAAGAAAACCTAAATTTCAAAATTATGAAGAATTACAGAATTACTCATTTAAGGTACTTTAAAAGAAGTTTGTACATTGTCAAAAGTATATTTTAATTCAAACCATGTCTGTAAAACTTGACGTATTTTGTGTATGCATGTTTTCCTTTTGCAAATATTTAATATATAGACCTATGATGTACAGGTACAACATGTAGTATAGGTTATTTAGATGTTATGAGAAATTTTAGTTTATTGTGAGTATTCCAGTTGCTTAAATAGCCACCAGGGTGATTTGCTGCTGGCTTTCTATCATTTTTATGTTTTAATGCAAAGGAAATTTTAAAATGTTCTGGAAATGTTTTTGATTAAGCAATGCAGCCTAGAAGCAGTGGTTCTGTTCAGTCCTTCAGATGTTAGTGGAAGCATAAGTCAAGACTGCATGTTGAATTTTTTCTTTTGATAGTTACAGAACTGCTTGGTTAAACTAAATGGAACCATGTGCTAATTTTACACAATTATTGACATGTATTGATTGCCACTGTAGTTTGGTATTTCCCTTTACTTTGTGGCCTGCTTCCCTCATGCCCTGGAATACAACTCATAGCTCCAAGCAGCGGAACCATCTATTGTTTTGTTTGCCAGAAAGTGCACCCTGTATGGTCTCTTGTCTAAGTTGGAAATATTATGCATGTGCAGGACTATCCGAGTATTTTATAAACAGTAGCACACAATAAATTCCATGCATGGGCCGCTGTTCCTATCTCCGTGTTGGGTTTTATTTGGAAGATGCAGTCTGATTTGACCTTTTTCTGCAAATCAAAAAAAATTCTGTTAATGAAGCCGGTATATCCTTCAGAGAAGATTATATCCCAGATATTTTATGGTGATTTGGTGAATTAAATTCTTATCTTCATAAATTTCACCTCGTTTTCCTTAAAGTTTTAGTATACTTGTTTTTTGTGAACATTAGTGATTGAGTACTACAGGACTTCGGGTGCTTTCTATAGGCCTCATAAATATAATATATAAAATCACTATTTTGATTCATTAATTTTTAATTGAAAGAAAATGTTCTTGTGTAGAATTCTGTTATAGTGATATTGAGAAATTATTGGATGTTTTAGCAATAAGTAAAAGAAATATTAATGATATTGGATTTTCTTGTCATCATACTCCTCCTTTTCCATAATCAAGTACAGGATTTTGCAAATTGAGGGAAGTAAATATATTGCTTGTATTTTATAATTAATCATAATTTAATTATAGTTCTGAATAGTCATTACAGTGATATACATTATAGAGCATTCACATAAAGATTAATTTCCCTAAGATAACAAACAGAACTTCTCAAATGATTTGTTATTTTTATTTGCTGTAACATTAGCTTACAAACCAGTCTGTGAACTGCTTCTAAATTTATTATGGACAGCATACCTTACTGAGCTTTCTTAATATTACTGTTTTATGAAAGTTATGCATCCCTGAAGTTGGAATTTAATTAGTATACCAGGTACCAGAAACTTCCTTAGTCCTTAGGTTTATCACTAAAGTTAAATAAGTGTTTGTGGGAAACATGGGTAAACATAAACATCATTAACAAATTGGAGAAATTATGGATTTTGATAGTAAAAAATAGGGAGAGGAAAGTAGAAGAAAGGACCAATTCACAGTATACATGAAGAGTGGGAGAACATTAACCAGCCTCACAGACCACTTCCTACTACTGAATGGGAACCTCTTTGTAATCTTTCTTCATAATAGGTTTCACAGAAAACTATTTGTGAAGTATTTATTAATATATTTTTTAACTCATGATAAAAGAAAATTATAAAATTTTACATCTTCCTAAATTATAACTTTGGTCAGATGGCACACATCTCCATACCTTTTTTTTTTTTTTTTTTTTTTGAGACAGGAGTCTCACTAAGTTGTTGTGACTTGGGAGACTGAGGCAAGAGGATTACAAGTTCAAAGACAGCCTCAACAACTTAGTGAGACTCCTGTCTCAAAAAAAAAAAAAAAAAAGTTATGGAGGTGGGTTTAGTGGTAAAGCCCTCCTAGTTTCAATCCCCAGTACCCCCCCCAAAAAAATTATTTTGAATGTCTACCAGTGCAAGTAGTAGTGATGATAAAATATAAATATTCAACATCAAAAATTTCACATGTTATTCTCCTTCATAGTCAAAGATGATACTTTGAGCTGGGCTTGGTGGCCCACACCTGTAATCCTAGCAGCTAGGAGGCCGAAACAGGAGGATCACGAGTTGAAAGCCAGCCTCAGCAAAAGCGAGACGCTGAGCAATTCAGTGAGACCCTGTCTCTAAATAAGATACAAAGTAGGCCTGGGGATGTGTTTCAGTGGTTGAGTGCCCCTGAGTTTAAACCCTGGTACCCCCCACCCCAAAAAAACAAGAAATGACATTTTGAATTAGCAAAGTCAGTCTCTGACTTCTCTTTTCTTCTACATTTCAGCCATTAATAATATAACTCAAACCCCTTTAAGTTTCACAGTTAAATTTTGAGGCAAGTTAAGTTTGAAGTTGGCTTGAAACCTTTGTTGAACATGAATCACTCCTAATTTATTGAGGATTTTTGCCTACTATAACTGATTCTCCTTTGTTCACAGATATGCTACATAATGTTTCATTAACTCCTTAACACTTTTCTTCCACCTTCCCTGCTTATCATTTGTGCTTTCTACAGTTTAGGATTCCTTTAGAATCCATTTTCTGCATCAAAACTATGTGGATTGATTGGCAACATTCTAAGACCTCGTTGCAAGAGGTCCTGTCCCCCAGTTTGATGATGTTCATGGAGGCAGGTAAGTCAGAAGGTCAGATTTTGGAGTCATATAGGATGACTACCCCCAAAGTTTCCTGTTCTACAGCTCAGTAACTCTAAATACAAAGGAGCTAGGAATGTGGAATTGAAATCCTGTATCAGCATCCATTACAAGAAGGAATGAGAAGATAATGGGTTACATTGATTCTTTTCTGTTTTCTGTTTCTAGGAATAATAGGCATTTTCATTCATTAACTAAAATGTTATTCTTAATTATATTAATATTACAAAAAGACTTATTCCTTTTTTGATGGAATAAGTGTGCATTGGAATGGAATGTCCTTGATGACACTCTCACTTAGAGAATAGCTTACTCTCCTTTTAAGAAAAGTAAATTATTAATTCTGGATATTTCCCCTACAGTTGGTTGTCTTTTGTGCCATTGAATGACCATTTCTTTTTTCTTTTCTTGGATAATTATACTTGTATTTAAACCTGGATTGGACATAGATGAGTTCTATTTAAGCAGTGCTTGTTATGCCAGAAAAGGACATTGGACTTGGGGGAACTCATGCTGGGTCTAGATTGATATCCACAAACTCCAGAGACTCCTGTACCCTCCGTCATAGTGCCTGCCCTTTCTAACCAACTATTGACTTCTAAACTAATCCCAAGGATTTTTTTTTTTTTTCTTTTTATTCCTCTGGTGCTATAAACTGAGCAAAAATATTACCTTGAGAGAAGTCCAAGAAGCAGTAGGTTTCATCTTCCCTCAGTCTGCCCGGCTTTTGGTGAGTTTGGGAGTGTTGACAGTCTTGAGCCTTCTTGGCAAAGTCAGGGTCAGAAAGAGAATCCCTTGGGCAGGGGTCCAGATTCTTACTTGCCTGGTTAGGGAGAATTCAGTTTTGGTTGGCTGGCTGACTGGCAGGACACACTTAATCACTGAGACCCAGTATTTCAGCAGTTTGTAGAGGAAAGTGATATGAAGGAACAGCTGCAAGTAAGCCACAACCTGGATCTGAGAAGATCAAGCACTCACTTCACTTGAAGGAAAGAGAGAAGGAAGGAAACCTAGGGCTTAGCAGGGTAAGTTACTTTCCCATCAACCTGTCTTCTTCCTTAGTTTATAATTGAGTAAAGTATTTATCACCCCAGGAAGTGTTAATCACAGATTAAGCAGCTGAATCATAAGAGCAATGTTCTTAATTTCTTTCTTTTTTTCCTTTTGTCTTTCCCCCCCCCTTTGAGGATCCCCAGTGACCAGCTTTACTCCTCCTCACCTCACCAGAGATACTTTGTGTTTGCTAATAAATCAGAGAAATTTAGATGGGTCCTAGTGGTCTGCATTTAGATGATGGTGATTTAGGTGAAAATTGGGGCTTTTATTGGTACGGGAGAAAAATGGTAGTCCTCTTGTCTAGGAATAGGTTAATATTTTAGTTTGTAATTTGGAGATGAAGGGTATAACTTTTTCTAGGCAGTCAATTTCATATCTCCTTCATAGAACTTGGTGTTGGGTGTTTTCTCTTTAAAATACTGGGAATAAGTTGGAGCCTAAGTCACTAGGGATGACTAGGAAAAAAATCTAAGGTGATTCCCTTTCTAGGTAAGATAGATTGAACTCTGGAAAGTTCTGAGAGCTTACCACAATTCTTTGCAGTTTCGCTCTCGTCACACTTCTGGTTTTTTTTTCCCTTTGCTTCTGTTTCTACTCCTTGAACTTGGAGGAATCTGGGGCTCTTGGCAGGAAAGTTAGAGCCAGGGAAGCTGTATTTGGACCTGGGATACACCAGCTCAGACATGACCCTAATGAAACTTACAGAGATGCAAATGCAAAGCCTTGCTTCTTATTCCTGCCATATTACCTTCCTGTCAGAATGTTAGCACGTTTGTCCCATAGATCATCAATATACACTAGGCATAGCAAGCCTGTGACATTAAGGATTTCATCATTGCCAATTCTTTTCACCAAGCTGTATGCTCCTTTTAACTTCTAGCTGGTTCTATTAACCCCGTTTTACCAAAAGTTAATCTTCGAAGAGTTAGTCTTCCATTGGAGAAAGACATCCTTGGAAATGGAGTTGAAGCAATACCTTTTAGACCTTAATTGGCTTGCAGCAAAAAGGCTTATAGTTTAGCATGGGGAAGATGGAGATAAATCCTGGAATTCAAGACCTTTAAATTGTCTCAAATTAAAGATACTTTCCTTTTATAACAGTAATGGGGGAAAAGTGTATTTTTTAAACCTTTTTAAAATTTTTTTAGTGATGGTGCAAATTGAGCTCAGGGGCACTGTACCACTGAGCCACATCCCCAGCACTTTTTATTTTGAGGCTGTGTCTGGCTAAGTTCCTGAGGCTTTTGATCCTTCTGCATCAGCCTCCCAAGTAGCTGGGATTATAGGTTTGTACCACCACACCTGACCATTCTTTCAACTTTTAAGGTGTTATATTGACTTGAAATATGGTAAATAGAGCAGATAAATGTTTTTTGTTTTGTTTTGGTTTTTTTAGAGTGGCAGTTATTCTGGAAATACACTGAGAATGTGTGGTGATTAAAAGTGGAGGGTAGATGGGCAGAGTGGTAGAAGGTAGAAGGCTTGTGGTAGAACGCTTGCCTAGCTCGTGTGAGACCCTGGGTTCAATCTATATTACCATAGGCACAAAAAAATAATAAAAATTTTAAAATGGAAGACAGGTCAGTTATTGGGAACAGGGTTCTAAGGTATGACAGGCAATTCTATCTTCTCTTTAGGTAAAGGGGCATGACCCTTAAACCTTAATATAATCAACTATTATTAGATGCAGTATTTTCTTCATTGGCAGTAATGTACAGAATATGGTATGCACATGAGCTTAGCTATCTCTGTTCTGTTGACTCAATCCATTTACCATGGATTGAAGGGAGACATTGAAAGGGTAGATGGAAATATAAGGGTGAGAGGAAAGAAAGTATCAAAGGAAGTATAAATTTATTCTTTAGACCAGGAGTTTGTAAGAGCTGTATAAAACACAAGTATGAACTGAATAATTATGAGAAATTTTATTTGTTTTTACCATCTACATCTACCTCAGTTAAATTATGATTCTTGGGTTTTTATCCTAACACATCTGTTTAGAAGGATCAAATGTCAGGCCATTTTGTAACAAAACATGATCCATGATTTGAACTTTGTTACCTTGTTCATAGTGAAACCAACTGCTGCCAGTGTTTTTATCCTGTATCATTTCCCCTCCTTGTAGGCAGTTAATCTGGATATTAATAACTTTTTAGCCTCTCTGGTGTCTATAGATTCTCTCCTTTCTTTCTTCCTCCCTCCTGCCCTCCCTTACTTTTTAGTTTTAAGGTGAAATTCATACAACATAAAAATAATTTTAAGTTAGCAACTGCATGCCGTTTAGTACTTTTCAGTGTTGTGCAACTACTACCTCTGTGTAGTTCCAAAATATTTTCATTGCTCCAAAAGAAAGCCCCATAAGTGTTAAGCAGTTACTTCTCACTTCCTTAGCAACCCTCAATCTTCTTTCTGCCTCTATTCTTGGTATTTCATATAAATGGCATCATATAACATGTAACCGTGTCTGGCTTCTTTCACTTAGCATAATGTTTTTGAGGTTCATCTACATTGTAGCATGTGTCAATATTTCTTTTTTATGACTGAATGATATTTACTCATATCTCTCTTTTGTCTGTTTCTCTCTCTGTTTGTGTGTGATCTCAATATGTTTACCCATTTATCTATTGGTAGATTTGTTACTTGTTTCTATCTTCTAGCTATTATGAATGGTGCTGCTATAAACTATAAGTCGTATAAGCCTTTGGGCACTCATTTTTAATTATTTGGTGTATATACCTAAAAACGAAATTTGTGAGTCATAATAGTAACTATATGTCTACTTTTAGAGGAACTGTCATACCCTTTTCCACAGTGCCCTAGCTAGCTAGGTGCACCCATGCGTGTAATACCAGCTACTCGGGAGGATGAGGCAAGAGGACTGAAAGTTCAAGGCCAGCCAGGGGAATTTAACAAGATCCTATCTCAAAATAAAATTCAAAAGGAGATATGGATGTAGCTTATTGGTAAGAGTACTTGCCTAACACATCACAAGGCCCTGGGTTCAATCCCCAGTACCACCAAAACAATTAAGAACAAAACAGAAAATAGCAAATGTTGATGAGGATATAGAGTAACTGGAACCCTTGTGCACTGTTGGTAGAAATGTGAAATTTTCCATGGGGAGGGCATTCATGGGAAAGATTATAGCAGTTCCTCTAAAAATAAACATATAATTACTATTATGACTCGCTAATTTCATCAACATTTGCTTCATGAAGTCTTTCTATAGCTCACCTACTAGAGAGACTCTCTGTCTCATTGCCCATTAGTGCTTTAGTTGCACTTTGCTTAGAGGATTTTTATAGTACTTTATATTATAGTCTATATTTAATCCCCCTGCAAGACATTTTGATGATATATTTTTTCATACTTGTTTCCATATAGTATTGAAAGTGATTTTATCTGTCCATCAATAAATATATATTGAATGAGTGGATGTTTTAATTTTTACCAATGTGGTCCCTTGTGTCTACTCAACCCTTGTGGAAAGCGTGGGAGAAAACAAGGCAGGAGAATTGGACTTTAGAGTCTCAGCTCAGTAATAAGTGGGAATGGCCTTATTTTTACTTCAAAACTTACCTCTTTAGGTAATTTTCTTCATAATTTGCCTGACTTGCTTAGAATATGTAACTCTTTGCATTATGCTGCTCGTTTTGTATTGCATTTAATTTCTATTTCTATTGGTTTATTGCTTATCAATGTGATGATAGGTCTTTTGGAATGAATGTTTCATCTTTCCACTTCTCTTTTAAGTTGATTTAAAAATACAATATGCTGCTGGATGTTGTGGCACACATCTGTAATCCCACAGACTATATGCGAGTCTGAGACAAGAAGATCACAAGTTCAAGGCCAGCCTCAGCAACTTAACAAGGCCCTAAGCAACATAGCAAGACCCTGACTCAAAATTAAAAAGAAAAAGGCCTGGAGGTGTGGCTCAGTGGTTAAGAGCCCCTTAGGTTCAATCTCTAGTATGAAAAAAAAAGTATATTAATATATAAATATATTCTCCTTATAGAAAAGTTAAATATAACAGATAAGACTAAAGTCTCATTGATCAGTACTTTTCATATTCCACTGCCTTCTTCCCCTATTCAGACTTAATTACTGTCATCAGTTTTCTAAAAGCCCTGACATAACTTTTTCTGTGCACTTACATATATATGTGGAAATACATATGTATATTTATATATGGAACTTCATATATAGCACATGTATAAATTTATATTCATATACATTTAGTTTTATTTTTCACAACTGTCTGTGATGATCAACAATCCATAATTACTAAATAAATCTTACTACTAACCTGACTAGAACAGGAAGTAAAAGGTCAAACATTTGAAAACATGTGTCCAGCTTGCAGAATTCCATTCCATATCTGTTTTGCATATAGTTCCCAGGTATCATTGGACAGGTCATGGCTCCACGCTTACGGCAACGGAGGCACAAGAAATCCCCAACAGTGGCTCCCGTGGTTGTGATCCCTCCCACAGTTGTGACTCCTCTGCCTCTGACTCTCTCAAAACCTGGCCCTAGCATTGATGCACATGGCTTCTTCTCCTTGGACAGTAATGTTCCTGGTCTGTCCCAGCTGATCCTTCAAAAGCTGAACATGAAAAGTTATGAAGAATACAAGTGAGTGACAAAATGTGGAAGAGGGATATATTGTCTTTAGGAGAAGTGATTTCAAAAGGTAGAGTATAATTTGGTCAGTATGGGATATTTGTAATGAGGGATCTTCTCATCCTGACTTTTTCCAGTTTTATTACTACAGAAAAAAATATAATTTGTTTAAATAAGAATGATGGGACTAGGAGACATAGGAGTATGTGAAAATGTACAGAAGGCACGATGGGGGACATAAGAGATTTTGGAGACACTCTTTTCCCTATTGCCGTTCTTCTTCCATGCTGTCTCTACAGGTTGGTGATAGATGGGGGTATCCCTGTATCAGGCTTTGGATTTCAATGTCCTCAAGAAATGTTCCAGAGGATGGAGGACACATTCCGATTCTGTGCTCACTGTAGAGCACTCCCTAGTAACCTTTCAGACTCCAAAGTTCTTCGGCACTGTAAGAGGTGATTTGTGGGGTACTAACTGGGGAGACATTCAGAAATCATCCTATACTAAATCCTCATTATAAAAGGAAAGGTCTAAGAATGTTCAGATTCATTTAAGGCTCATTCATCATTTTGTGTGAACCACAATATAGACAGATTAGAACACGGTTATAATCCTGCTTATTATTTTTGATGTTGTGGGGAGATGAGATAAGAGACAAATACCTTCTTCTCTACTCCCTCTTCTTGAGTACTCAAGGAGTAAGACCACATCTGTTATGGGGTGCTTGGGGCTGTGCCATACACATGATTAGAGAGCAGCTGCACATTGTTGGTTTGGTTTTGTGCTTTTATTTTTCCTTAAAGTGATGTAAAAAGTAAGTTGTTCCAGATAAAAACAGAGGTATCACCCTGGTCTGAGAGAACAATTGCATTCCCTGTTCCTTCTGCCTCCTCTTTATTCCCCACATTTGGGGCGCAGCTGTTATTCTTTTCTGCATCCTCCTTACCCATTCATTAATCTTTCAACCTAGGTGCAAGAATATCAGTTCCCATCCCTGGACATATCCAATTAACTTTATGGTACAGGAACATTTATTTCTGTGGCTTATTCCTTTAGGTGCAGAAATGTCTATTACTGTGGCCCAGAGTGCCAGAGGTCAGATTGGCCAGTACACAGGAAGGTTTGTCAAGAGCTTCGTCTTGTGGCTGTGGATCGTCTCATGGAATGGCTTCTGGCCACAGGTGGAGTGGTAGTATTGGGAAAGTCTGCCAAAATTATCTTAGTTGTTTACATTCAGAGAAAAATATGAAAGCATGTTGTTATGAGGAGGAAATGAGGAACTGGGGCAAGGGATGGGACACCTATGGTCACAGGTTTGCAAAATGAACATGGAATGATGATTGGTTATAAGTGAGGAGAGAATTTTGAAGCCAGGGAAGGATTGGGTTACTTCTTATTCCTTCTTCTCTGCAGGTGATTTTGTCCTACCCTCAGGACCTTGGCCATGGCCGGCTGAAGATGTACAGGACTGGAATACCTGGTTTTCTATGAGGGGGTTGCAGATAGATGCTACACTGAATGCTATACTAGGCAGTCATGCTATGACCTCCTTATGGGCCAGTGTAGGAAGGCCGAGGCCAGACCCAGATGACTTGAAGGGCTCTTTGAGGCGACTCCTGACAGATGTTCTGTCACGGCCTTTGACTCTGGGCCTAGGGTTTAGGGTCCTAGGGATAGATGTTCGGAAGACTGGAGGAAGTGCAGTGCATGTGGTTGGTGCGTCCCACGTGGAGACATTTCTCACTCGTTCTGGGGACTATGATGAGCTTGGCTATATGTTTTCTGGACACCTTGGCCTCCATGTGATCATGGTGGGTGTAGATGTGTCTGCTGACTTTTTACACAGCACCTCAGCTTCACCTCTGGAACCTGGCACAATTCAGCTTAGTGGCCACAGGAGCCTCTATCATGACTTCTGGGAAGAGCAGATAGAGACTGGGAAGATAGCCTATCCAGATATGGTGGTGGCATTCCATCCAGGTAAGCACCATTAGTTCAGAGAAATACTGAGTGACTCCCCTGAGATTTTCCATCCTGATTCTTATATGTTCTATCTTTAGAACCCTATTCATTTGGTCTTATTAAACACACTATGATGATGACCTTAATTAATTTGCCATATGTGCTAACTACATCTGGGTTCAGAATGTTTCATTGAAGAACCTAGTGGGGATGAATGATGATTAATATTGGGGTGAGCAATGTGAGGATTGGGGTAAATGCAGTCGAAGAAGTATCTTGCTCGTAAGGTCTACTTCAGCTTTTCTCCTCAGTATTCCCTTTTCTACTTTTGTTCCATAGGTTTCCATGCATCCCTGAACTTGATGGAAGCTTGGCTGCCCACCCTGCTGCTACTTCGTGACTATAAGATCCCTACATTGATTACTGTTTACAGGTTTTGACTTATTTATGATATTTTCCTGACACACTCCTGCCTCTCTGTACATATTAACTCATTTTGATCCCACTTGCTCATCTCTCTTCTTATGAAGATGCATGTCTTCTCATGAAGATATTCTTCCTTCTACCTTGTGGCTTATTCATCCCCTTGGAACAAAGTCCTGTGCTAATCAGTGATTTAGTGAGATGTTTGGGAGGAAAAGATAGTCATGGTCTAGTCTAGTCTTAGATAATTCTTGTGATTGATGAGTAGAGAAATATTATATTCTTAAGCAGTTTCTATTCTTTCTCATAATCAGTAAGAGTAATTTTTCTTATCTCTTTCCCACAGCCATCAGGAATTGGCAGCCTCTTTGCAGATTTTGGTGAACCTTGATATACACGTCACTGCATATGGAGCTAACCCTTTCACATCCCTCAAACCTGAACAGGTCTATTCCAACCCCAACAAGCAGCCAGTATACTGCAGTGCCTACTACATCATGTTTCTTGGAAGCTCCTGCCCGCTAGATAGAGACAATTAGAAGAGAAAGTGGATGGTGTGGCTTAAATAACTGAGCCAAATCTTAACTGGACATCCGGAAAGTAGGGAAGTTATAATGAAATTACCTTGATGATGCCAAATTATTGCCAACTTTAAAATATACTTACTGTATTCTAAGCCCTATTCACTGCCTAGGTACAGATTGTAGACTGAATAAGAGCTCTACTACTTATCTAACAGTTTGGGCTAGAAAATGGAGATGTCAATAACTTGAAAGTCATGTAAGAATGGGAAAATTGGGCTGGGGATGTGGCTCAAGCGGTAGCGTACTCGCCTGGCATGCTTGGGGCCCGGGTTCCATCCTCAGCACCACATACAAACAAAGATGTTGTGTCTGCCGAAAACTAAACAATAAATATTTAAAAAAAAAAAAAAAATTCTCTCTCTCTTTAAAAAATAAAAATATATATATATAAAAAAAAAGAATGGGAAAGTCAGGGAAGTTATTGGGAACATGGGGAAAGCTTAAGGATTGGTATACTGTCCTATTATTTTTGTTTGTTTTCATCTAGAGAAATGTTTCATTTTCCTATTGTCTTTTCAGGAACTCTGACACTAGAGTGGCCCTCATATTGTAGCCTAGATATCTTGGGCATATCAGTCTTTACCTGAATATATTGGAGTTGTTATTTCCTTTTATACCACAGTTAATTCATTTGGGGGCTTTTTTTTTTTTAAGTGACATGGGGTCTCTCTATGTTGTCCAGGCTGACTCTGAACTCCCAGGCTTAAGTGATCCTCTTACCTCAGCCTCCCAAGTATCTGGGTTTATGGCTACTTACCACCATACCTGGCTACCTTGGGGCTTCGCAAATCACTTGTTTTCTTTTTTTTTTGGCGATGGGGCATAGGCCAGGGATTGAACTAAAGGGCAGTCAACCACTGAGTCATATCCCCAGCCCTATTTTGTATTTTCTTTAGAGACAGGGTCTCACTGCTTTGCTTAGCGCCTTGCCATTGCTGAGGCGACTGGCTTTGAACTCACAATCCTCCTGCTTCATCCTCCCTCGCCACTGGGACTGCAGGCATGTGCTACGGTGCCTGGGTGTTTTCTGATTCCCTGTTTACTGGCAGGTATTACTCATCTGCACAATATTAGAAGTTTTTCTCTTGCCAAAGAGTGATTAGCATCAATCTGTTTGGTCCTACCACTTTACCATACACTTCCCTGTTGTTTTCCTTCTTTTTTACCATACTCTCAGGATTAGGAAATTCCCTAGGTATTCATTTCTAAAATTTTGCCTTGACCTTCACACACACGCACACACACAAAACCTGTCACTTCAACACACACACATATATACTCTTACTGCCCACTCATATGGGGTAATTTTAGAATTCATTTATTCATTCAAAACATTTAGTACCTACTTTGTGAATGATACAGTATTATTGTTTGGGGAAAATAGTAAGGTGAATGAAACATTGTCCTTATTCTTTTTTTTTTTAATATTTATTTTTAGTTTACGGTGGACACAACATCTTTATTTTTATGTGGTGCTGAGGATTGAACCCAGCGCCCCGCACATGCCAGGCGAGCACGTTACCGCTTGAGCCACATCCCCAGCCCATGTCCTTATTCTTGACCTAGGAAGAAGAATAATATGTATACAGAGATATCTTTATTGCAAAGTGTAACATGGAATAAGAAACATGAGAGAATACACTGAGGAAATAGACTGAAAAGAGAGATCACTTTGCTAAATGGTACTCAAGATATTGTTAATTAAAAGTTATAAAATTTATGGCAGGGTGTTTTAGTCAGCTTTTTTACTTCTGTGACTAAAAGACCCCACAAGAACAATTGTAGAGGAGGAATAGTTTATTTGGGGGCTCACAGTTTCAAAGGTCTCAGTTCACAGACAGCCAGTTCCATTCCTCAGGGCTTGAAGTAAGGCTGAACATCATAGTGGAAAAGTGTGGTAGAGGGAAGTGGCTCACATGATGAGCTGAAAGCAGAGAGACTCCACTCTCCAGATACAAAATATACACCCCAATGGCATGCTTGCTCCCTGTGACCTTCAGTCACGCCCTACCTGTCTTCAGTTACCACTCAGTTAATTCCATCAGAGGATTAATTCACTGATTGGGTTAAGGCTTTCATAACCCAATCATTTCTCCTCTAAACTTCGCAGTGTCTCACACATGAGCTTTTGGGGGACATCTCATGTCCAAACCATAACAGGGCATTCCAGGTGGAATGAGCAACATGAACAGAAGTTTGGAATGCAAAAAGTACAGGGAGGGGACATTTTAGAGTACATTGCAGGATTTGTGTAAATTCGATGTGGAAAATAGATTGGGATTGTGTTATAGAACAGGTATAACCTACTCATGAACTTTAGATTTATGTGCCCCACTTTTTCCTTTGGTACTGGGGATTGCTATGTCCCCAATCCCTTTTAATTTTTGGAGTGTGTAACCATTATAAGTAATCTAGAGATGATTTAAAGTATTCAGGATGGACTGGGGAATTAAGAACACTTATCTAACATACTCTAGACCCTAGTTCAATCTCCATTGGTCCAAAAAGAAAGAGAGAGTGTAAGTCTTCCGGATATGGTGGCACGGCCTATAATCCCAGCAATTTGGGAAACTGAGGCAGAAGGATTGCAAGTTTTGAGACCAGCCTCAAAAACTCAGAGCCTCACTCAAAACAAAAAATGAAAAGGACTGTGCTGGGTACTGTAGTGTATGCCTGTAATCCAAGTGGCTTGGGAGGTTGAAGCAAGAAGATAACAGGTTCAAAGCCAGCCTCAGCAACTTAATGAAATCCTAAGCTACTTAGCAAAACCATGACTCAAAAAATAAAAAAGGATTGGGGATGTGGCTCAGTGGTTAAGAGCCCCTGTGTTCAATCCCTGGTACCAAAACCAAAATAAATAAATAAAAAGGGCTGTGAATGTAGCTCAGTGGTAGAGTGCCTAATACCATATCAAAAAAAAAAAAAAAAAAGGGAAGGAAAGAAAAGGAGAATAATACAGGAGGATGTGCTGAGTTATATATAAGTACTATGCCATTTTGTATAAGAGACTTGAGTATCTTCAAATTTTAATATCTGTAATTGGTCCTGTAATCAACCTCCCATAGATATTCATCCGAGCGGCTGATTCATAAATCATGTATCTAATAAAGAACTTGTATCTAGAATATAAATAGAGAACTGTTATGACTTAAAAGGACAAATAACCCAATTAAAAAATGGACAAATGATCTTGAACAGACATTTTTCCAAAAAAGATAAAACAGCCAAAAAGCATATGAAAGATGCCCAATGTCAAAATGAAATACAAGTCAAAATGCCAGTGAAGGGCTGGAGGTGTAGCTCATTGGTACAGTGTATTGTCCCTGAATTCAATCATTAGCACCAAAACAACACACACACACACACACACACACACACATAATGAGATACAATTCACACTCGTACAATGGCTGTAATAAAACAGTTACAGGTTTAATGAGGATGTGGAGAAATTGGGACCTTCATACATTGCTGAGGAGAGTGCAAAATGGTTTAGGTATTTTGTAAAATGGTTTGGTGATTCCTCAAAAAGTTAAAACACTGAGGGCTGGGGATGTGGCTCAAGCGGTAGGGTGCTTGCCTGGCATGCATGTGGCCTGGGTTCAATCCTCAGCACCACATACAAATAAAGATGTTGTGTCCACTGAAAACTAAAAAATAAATATTAAAATTCCCTCTCTCTCTCTCTCTCTCTCTCTTTAAAAAAAAAATTAAACACTGAGTTACCATTTAATCCTTGAATTCTAATCAATGGTCTATAACCATGAGAAATGAAAAAATCTGTATATACATGAATATTCATAGCAGTATTACTCATAATAATATAATTCATAATAATCGATTTTAAAATGTATAAATAAGATGTGATGCATACAAAGAAATACTACTTGGTCATAAAAAGGAATAAAGTACTGATTCATGCTACAACATGAATGAACCTTGAAAATATTGTGTTAAGAGAAAGAAGGCAATCAAAAGAACACATTGTATAAGTGTATTTATATGAAATGTCCAGAATAGACAAGTCTATGAAGACAGAAAATTAATTAATGGCTACATATCAATAAGTAAGATGGGGATTTTATTATGGTAGAGGAGTGATGTAACCATTGGAGTGATGTAACCATTCTAAAACTGATTGCACAATTCTTTGAATATACTAAAAATCCTTGCATTGTACACTTATATATAAAAATTATATCTCAATAAAGCTGTTAAACCCCTCCTCCTAATTTTTTGGTAAATCTTAAGAGAATGTAAAAGATGAGAAAATAATTCAAGTGCTTAACACTGTGCCTAGCAAATACTATATACTTATTAGTAGTTATTATTAAACACATACCACTTTGAAATTTTCTTAGAAGCACAATTAGATTGGCAATACTGTGTAAGTTTGGTAATGAAAAACCAGTTGGGACACATTGTTATGATTCAGACAAGAGAGAATATCAGTGTTAGCTAAAGTGAGCAGCAGTGGGCATGGAAAGGAAGAAATAATTTCCAGCTATAACAAATAAACTAAAAAAAAAAAGTAGATAGAGATACTTTGTAGATAGAACATGAAAATAAAATCTATAGGATTTTGCTACTGCTTGTGATGGATAAGAAATGATGTATCTGTCAAATTCTAATCAGGAGACAAGTTACACAGTAACAGGTCATAGAAAATTTTCCAACTTGGTAGAATAATGATAATACAAAAAAGTTCAAATGCCTAGCTTCATGCTAAATGCTGAGGATTTTAAGTTGTCTTCTGCACTTAAACTTTTGCCTAGCTACATTTTGATTATTCCAAACACACTTTTCAGTATGTTTACCTTGTTATGACTTAATAGGAGACTGACAGAAGAAAGGATAATATGAGAGTTATGTTTTCTAATGTCAGCATATGGAGTGAAAAAACATTCAAAACTACCTTTGAGCCAGGCGCAGTGATGCATGCCTGTAATCCCAGCCGCTCGGGAGGCTGAGGCTGGAGGACCGTGAGTTCAAAGCCAGCCTCAGCAACATAGCGAGGCCCTTTCAGTGAGACCCTGTCTCTAAATAAAATATATTAAAGGGCTGGGGAGGTGGTTCAGTGGTTGAGCACCCTTGAGTTCAATCCTGGTGCCAAAAAACAGACAAATAAAAACTACCATTGAAAATCCCCAGGGTGAGTGGCAGGGTGGTTCAGTGGTAGAGCACTTGCCTGACACATGAAGCACTGGTTTGATCCTCTGCACCACATAAAAAATAAAGGTATTATGTCAATCTATAACTAAAAGAAGAAAAAGAAAGTCCC